TTGGAGTACAAGAATTTTTGATTTCTTTCTTGTCAAATTTTGCAATTACGATCTTCACAATTCTTCTTGCATTTCAGCAACACCCCATTTTAACTATATTCTCTTCTTTTTGTTCTCTTTTGCTGACTTTTATAATTTTCTATTGAATCGATGCATGCTCTTCCCACATCTGGACTCCCCCTTTATCGCCTCTCAGTGCCTGTTTAGCTCTAGCTCTTGGTCTCCCCTTCTCTCACTGATTTTTATATTTCTCTAATTCTATTTCTCTCTCATATCCTCTGACTCTTCCTTGGGCTCTACCAATTCTAATATCATGATCAATTTACTTTTTTTGTTCCCATTCTGCAACTCTCTCATTTCCCTATATCTCATTCTCTTATATTCTTACATTCTTCCAATTTTTTTACTGCGAAGTCCTTTTTAAACTCTTCTAAATAAAGTATATTAGTCAAACTTATCTCTCGCTTCATCTGTTTCTTTTATCTCATTTCCCACAAAATCTTTAGAAGGCTCTACAAAATATAGTCTCCATATTGCTTTCATATCTATCTCTCTATCCCTCTCTCTATCTATTTATCTCTCTATCTATTTATCTATCTATCTATCTATCAATCTATCTATCTATCAATCTATCTATTTCTCTCTCTGTCTATCTCTCTCATTTTCTTTCTCTCCTTTCCGCGAAATCTGAAGGTTCTATTAAGTCTAGTGCATAAAAATAAACTGAATCTCTCGCTCCCCCTCCTTGTCTTTCTCCTTCCCACGCTCTCCAAAAAGTTCCACCTTTGACATTGTCAGTTGGGGTTCACATTCAGAGTGCAATGTCTTTCAGCTGAAACGTTGAACGACCCTCTGTGGTGAACCCACACACTGCTTGTGAATTTGGTGAACCCACTTTGCACCACCGCAACGGTGCCCACATTTGCTACTCGAACTGTCAACACCGCCGGCAGCTTCATTCACTCTGTCATTCATTCATTTGTTCATTCATTAAGTCATTCAAGTGGCTTGAAATGCTTTTTTTCTTGCTTCTTTCTTTCTGTTTTCTGTGAACTCTGTGGATATTCGCCAAGTGGGGATACACACGCTCAGCGCATTTGCAGCATGCTTGAATCACAGCGCTAACATTGAACCCACACTCGCACATACGCGCGCACACACACACACACACACATACAGACAGAGACGCACAACCCACAATTTAGCCAGTTAAATGAAGTCAAATAAATTTTCTTCCCAAGACATTCGCATATTTCTTGCCACTTCCGGCACTTCCCAGCCAGCTGGGGCTTGACTAGATTTGGCCACGCGGTGAGTCGCAGCTGTGAAATGGTATCAACAACAACAACAACAGGAGCTGCTGCTGCTGCTGCTCCGCTTGGCCAGCGGTTGACATTGGAGCCGTTTTTGGAGTTGGCAAACTTTCGTTTCGCTCAATTTTGGGCGGTCAATGCGCTGGCCAGGCAGACAGTAGCTGTTGCCAAGGGGACGGTGGAGCTGGGGTTGCTCGGTTGCTGCAGCATAAATATTTATGCGTTGCACTTGAGAGCATTTCTAGCTGCAGCAAAATCAACCCCCTCGCCCTGGCCCCCCAGCACAGCTCCAACATTGAATTTATGGCCATTTTCCGCGACCTAAGTCGTAGGCCCCAGTCGAGGAGTCGGAACGGCAAATTCATTGCGGCCATTATCAAAAAACAAAAACCGAATCAAAATCAGAATGCTGCCCAACTAGGCGATACTCTGTTTCCAAAAAAAAAAAATCTAATAAATAAACAATTAAGCATTGTTGGCTAAAGCTGATTTCTTGTAAAGAGGATAAATCCTTGCTTAAAAAAAAAAAAACGAAATAAATAACATTTTATTCCTCATATTATCAAAACTCTGTTCCTTAATAATTATAATAATTTTGGTGAGCTTAGCGTTAGAGCTGCAGGGCAAACCTAACAAATAAAATAACATTATCTCCAACCCCATAGTAAATCATAATATATAATACAGCTAGACTGACTGATTGATATTATTGAGTATCGATAGATTGAGTAACTCACTCAAACCCTCGAAGCTACAAACCTGAATATTGTTCCATAGCTTATTTCAGTGCGGTTTTGAGTGAGTTCCAACCGGTGGAAATGAATGTCAAAACACAATGAATACATATTTCAGCGAAGTTAAGAATTCCAACGGAAACTGTGGAAAATTGGTGGAAGAAGATATATACCCCATTTTCCGTCATCTCATTTCACACGCAAATGTGGAAAATTGGTGGAAAAGTGTTAAATAAAAAAAACTTTGTAAGCCAACCGCAAGGCTTTAAGCCTTAATATACCCCATCTGCCAGCACAGTAAAGAGTATTTATTAACTGCGCCATGTAATTATAATGCATTTTGTTAACAAAATCATTGGCCAGGCCCAACCGAATGGCCACCACCTCCATACAAAAATAATATTAAGAAAAACAAAAAATGCAATGCATTATTCAATACGTATATGTATCATTGTTCAAGCATCGTTAAGTTTTTTTATAATCCCAGCCCCAATCAGCATTACGGTACGGCCCCCGTCCCCAAAAACCTCCTGCGTAAAGCCTAATTGCAATCATCTTCGAAATGAGCTTGTAATTGCAATCGCTTCGGAATTCCATTTAACGCTTCCCCGGCGCATCTAATTGGACAACGCATTGAGTGAACTTATTTGATTTAATTAATTGGTTTTTTTTTAGATAATTTACGCACTCATTGTTTGTACAATGAGGAAAAGTCCATCTATTGCCTTGAATTATTTGCTGGCCAGATTGCGTAACATCTGCCTAAGGCCATACTTAAAATGCTATTCGGATATTCGTAGCGGTTTTTCCGCTTTTCCCTAATAAAAAAAATAAATAAATGAATAAAAATATCTCATCAATAAAATATATCTAATTGATGTGTTCAGCTTCCTAGCTTTCTAGGATTCAGTTTTCTTGGATTAAATCCACCAACGTTTTATTTAAGCGATCTGGCAGCATTAAAAAATTTTATGTACTCGTTAAGTTGGCTGTGCCAACTAAATTTGATTAATGATCAATAAAGGAAACGTGCCATAAATCTTTTGTAAACGATCTGGCAGCATTAATCAATTTAATAGGCGTGTTAAGTTGGCTGCGTCTGAAATTGATTAATATTGTAGAATAGTATAATTGTTAAGTTAGCTATGGCTAGCAAATACAGATATTAATCGTTGTCAATTAATTATACGACAGTTGTACGACGCTTTTATGCAGTTGCAACTGTTTCCTTAATTATCTAATTGATAAGTTATGCACGTTCCGTGCGAAGCCTCAAACGTGTATCTTATGCCGACGACGTGACAGATACAACAGATTTTGTTTGAGTTTGAGTTTGTATGGACATAGATGCATACATTTCTACGAATCATGTCACATTAGAATGATGGATGATATAACTACTGTCTAACGGCATGCCTGTTCGTACTGTTTTTTCTCAATATGAATTTGGGTTTTCTTTTCGCGAACCAAGCTAAAAGATCTTAAATGGGATACAAATTTTACTTCATTTCAGATAAGTTGCAGATTTTTGATTGAATAATTATTATATGTATATTATATGTATATTATCATATATTATTTACATCTTTTGGTTGGAACCAAAGTGAAATCTATCATATTGCCAAAGTACACTTGATAAGTTATATTAATAAAAATATAGTTTTCTACAACATTTTTTAACATAATTTTCAACATTAATAAAGTTGAAAGATATTTCCAAAAATTATACGCGAACTCTAGAAAGTAGGCTCAACTTAAGGAAATCGAATTCGATATTCGAACTAATATTTGTATAGCATGCTTTTGGGCTCGGCTTAAATGAAGTATAAGTAGAAGATCAAAATATACGAACTGCATTAAGGCGTAAAAGCTTAATATGTTTTTTAAATTAAGTCAAGCTTTATAGTACTTATGTGTTGTATTTTACCAAAAACTAATTTAACTTTTTTTAATTTTTTTATTTGCAGGTAAGCTTCAAAGTTAAGCTAAGCTATTGGATCGGCAGCAAAGGTATAAACTTGCAACAAAATCAATCGTAAAGTAGACTAAGGCTTAAGGTTTGTGTGCTCGCTGATCGCAGATTGCGGTTTGTGCGCTCGCTAAATATGGGCAGGTTTTAAAAGCACTGTGAAATAATATTTCCATGGCTTGTTGTTTATTTAGTTTTATTTCTTTTATTTACTCATGTATTCGTTTTATATAACAGCTATTTAAATTCAAACACTGATTACTTCGTATCCAACTTAAGTGCTAATTGAGGTACTCCAAGTGTACGCGGCGAAGTATAAAAAAAATGGTTCATATTTAGTATCAGACACTCGCACAAAAAAAAAAAATAGTATATATATATATATATATATATATATATGTAGGTAAAGTATATATCTATATCCATGTATAAAACAAACAAACGTATTAGCATAAATGACTCGATATTTACAAGAAGCGCTTATTTGACTAAGGACAACGCACAGAAATAGGAGCAGCAAAGCGAACTAAAGCTTAATAAATTAAACGTGCGATGTGCGCACATGCGACGAGAATTAACTAACTAAAACCTATTCCCGGTTAAAGAGCCACGTTCAATGACACGAGCTTAAAGTAAAGCTCTAGCTTGAGATTAATCTCGTGCAAGCAACAGCACGCATAATGAGCCTGGGGAAATCATTTTATGTGGGGCAGAGTTTTTAGAAGCTTTGCTTGGGATTTTACTTAAGTTAAGATGACTAAAATTAAGCTTCGAAATGGTAACCTAATTGTCGATTGAATAATTGCTCATTATAGTTCTCTAGCAAAATTTACGAAAGCTTTTATGTAGCTTTTTGCGTTACTTGATCAACATTAAGTTCAAGCACATGAAAGTTTCAGACTAAGATTATAAGCAATATTTAACATGAAGGCACGTTGAGATTTAGAAACTGTTTAAGAAATTGAAAGAAAGCTCTTAGTGAGCCTTTAAAAAGGATAAACGAGCTTTGGCAAATGGTTAAGAAAGCACATTAAAGCTTAATTGACTTCTGACAATTGAGCTCAGTTAAAGCCCAAAGCTTTACAAACTGTTCACGATGCGCTTTCGATTGTCTCTCAATTCACAAAATTATTCTCAAGCTCAAAAAGCTACTTTAAGCAACTGTCACTGATTGATCAGCATATGCCTCCGGGCCGGCTCACAACTTCATCCCACATCCCACCCGCCGCTCGCATTCGCGCCCGCTACGCGCTTGGCAATGGCCATTGTCGCACCCTTTCCGCTATCGTCTCATTGGTGGCGGTCAGCGAACGCTTGGTGCGCCATTGCTGATCGGTCGGCTTCGTGGTGGGCGTCAGCCACAGCTGCTTGATGAGATCGGCGCCCTTCTCGGCGATCATGACAACCGGTGCGTGTATATTGCCATTTGTAATTGCCGGCATGATGCTCGCATCGATTACACGCAATCCGGGCACACCGTAAACCCTCAGCTGTGGATCCACCACGGCCCAGGGATCGCTGGGCGGACCCATTTTGGCCGTGCCGCTCATATGATAGATGGTCATCGTGTACTGCCTGATGAAGCAGTTCCAATACTCGTCGGTGAACAGGGTCAGGTGCTTGCAGTTGGGCAGCGGCTTGCTCCAGAAGCGTGCGCCGAAACGCTTCATCGCCTGGGTCTCGCCGACGGCAATCGCCGCCTTGACGCCCTCGCGCAGCACATTCACATCGTCCGGATGGGTGAGGTAGTTGTGGTAGAGCAGGGGATAGCGCAGGGGATTCTTCGATGCCAGCTTAATATAGCCGCGACTCTTGGGCCGCAGCATCATGGGGAATATACCAAAAACGTCGCGATTGTTCACCTCGCCAAAGACCTCCTGATAGAATTCATCGGTCAGACCGTGGGCGGTCTTCACCTGGGAGCCGCCATCAGACATTACCGAGGCGGAGGTCATCATGAAGTTCATATCTGGCCAATCGTCGCTGGCATTTGCATATTTGGTATTGATAAAGGCGACCGCCTCCAGGCCAATGCTGGATGTAAGCGGCCCATCCTCGGTGATGGCATATCGCAGCGCCGTGTTGATGTTCACCATGCGCTTCATCACAATCGAGATGGGATAGTCGATTAGGAAGGCAATGCCGCCCACCGCTATGTGATCCTGTAGATTCTGGCCGACGCCGGGCAAGTGCTGCACCAGCGGTATGCCCACGCGGGCCAGCTCCTCGCCATGGCCAATGCCCGAGAGCATCATCAGATGCGGACTGCCAATGGCGCCAGCGGCCAACACCACCTCCCGCGTAGCGTAGACATTCTGCAGCTGGCCATCCCGGATGAACTGCACCCCGGTGGCGCGTTTCGTTTGCGGATCTGTTAGCACCTTGGTCACGTGCGAGAAGAGCGCCACATGCAGATTGGAGCGCAAACGGGCTGGTCGCAGAAAGGATTTTGCCGTAGAGCTGCGCGAACCGCGACGCATATTAAACTGGTAAAAGCCAAAGCCCGTCTGTTGGGCTCCGTTCACATCGACGATATCGTAGCCCATCTCCTCGCCGGCCTGCAGAAAGGCCGGCCCAATGGGCGTGTTGTAGGGCGAATCCTGCACTGTCCAGAGGCCACCTGCAATGAATGTGTTTTTGTATTGGAGTATTTCAAAGTAGATGAAAGCCCAAAGGGTTATATAGAGGGAGTGCGGAAAAGGTGCTTGAAAGCATGAGAAGAAATTAGCTGTCTTTAGTTCCCTTTGAAAGTGTGTTAGGCAAAAAGCTTTGAAAGCTTACTTAAAGTTTACTTAAATCTAAAGCCACTTGTAGGTCAGATTATATGCATTTAAGTGTGCTTTATAGACAGCTAAGAAGCTTTTCTTTCAAAATATTGGAATAGCACCCGAAAGCTTTAAGTAGTTACACATACACTTAAAGCTTTAAAAAGGCTTTAAAAACGCTTTTATGTAGTCGGGCAATGTTAGTTAATTGTACGAGAACCTACCTGTGCCATGGTAGCGCTTGTTGCGCGCCAGGTACGGATTGCGCTGATCCTCTGACTTGCGGAAGTAGGGCAGTATTTCCTCGAACGACCAGCCGGGATTCCCAAATGCAGCCCACTGATCAAAGTCCCGCCGATTGCCCCGTATGTAGAGCATCGTATTCAAAACGGAGCTGCCGCCAATCACCTTGCCACGTGTCCAGCAGCAGCGTTTGTCCTTCATGGCCTGGCAGGCCGTCGGCTGAGGCTGTGTGCTACAGAGAGAGATAGACAGAGATAGAGAGAGGGAGAGAGAAATGGAGATGATAGAGAAAACGTAAACAATTAGCAAATGTGTTGGCAGGGCTTTCATCATTAATCAACAGGTAAACATCGCACGACAATAAAATCGCATTAGCTAACCTATTCAAGGGCCACGCCCACCCACACGCCCTTCCCCGGCGGCGACAGCCACTTTGTACGCGCCATTGACCGTCCGCGGCAGTAATACAAACAAAACAGAAGCTGGCAACAAAACGTAGACGGGGCAACAATTGTTGGCCAGTGGGCAACTTTATTACAGCATCAACAACAACAAACAAAAACAAACAACTAACAACAACAATTGCCTTCAGTGTTGTTCATTAGGAAAAAGCTTTGTGCAATTGAAACTCAGACCACAAATTGTACATGATCTGCGGCATTATTTGGCATTTAACTCGTTTGCCTTGGAGCAAGAGCGTACGTTTTAGGATTAAAATACCAGAGTACTCAAAGTACTCATTATCAGTAGCAATGAGTATTAATGAATAGTTGCGAGTGTTTTCCTGCCTTGGGCTTGCCTTCGGGCTCCAAATATTGTTGACTTTGTTGCCAATAATCAAGACAACCCAATTTCCCAACTATGTGGGTTACTTTGAGCCAATTAACTAGTGCAGATTAAATAAACATTTTGTTATACTGCACTAAGGCACAGAGTTGACAATTAAAATATATGTTTTCATGTACCGTACATAGAGGATAAACTTCTCACAATTTATTTACGATAAGTCTACACATTTTCATAATATCGTTAAATTTTTACCCAAGACTGCATTTCCCACAAATAGTATGGAGAGGCGAGTTTAGAGTATCTGCTAGTCGGGCTCTTCTGCTGCCAAGTTTTGTTTGCTTCGCTGGCTTTCTTTCATCATGCGTAAGGCCTGAGGGTCTACTACAGTTTAGTCAGGAATTTCCTGCCGCTCCCACGGCCAGCTTTCGTCGCTTGGCTACAAATTGTGTACAAAACGCCTACAACTTTTGGTCTAATTAGCCGCCCACCTGCCGTGCACACTCTTCCGCTCGCTCGCTGCGCTAATTAGTTTCGTCCATTGTCCCGTTTCGCGTTTGTTAAACATACAGGAAACTGCAGCCGGCAGGCGACACGAACTGCAAATTGAATGACAGCAATTGAATATAACAACAATCAACAATGAGCTCAGCAAGTGCAGCACAACTGCAGCTAACTTAATTCATGACAACACAATTAAGCATGCCCCAGAGACGCGCACTCGACTAGCAAACACCCTGTTAGATCTATTGCTAAAGTCGAATGAATACAGCTATGTTATACTAGGCATGAATTAGGGAATTTTTGTTGAAAGTGGAGTTCTGATAATAATATAAGCAGGTATTTTTCAAAGTCTTGTGCACAGCTGCCCGATTAGCTCTGTAATACGAAGCTACATTGTGCATTTTTTTTTATATTAATACCTAATTTAGTTTACTGCATAACTTGAAAGCTCGGAGAGCTAATCTAAATATAATAAGTATACGAGATATCAGTTATCTAATTTACTATGCCTAGCTCTGATAGGAGCTGAGTTCAGCTGGTACATTCGATAGGGAAATAAATTGGGAATATAGAGAAAATATCTTAGGGGTATTAAACAGTTAAGTAAGATCTAATTGAAAGAAATATTTCTCTATATATAGCCTTGATCATAGCAGGGTCTTTATTACATAATTTGGCAGCGGGATGAGCTAATCGGAATCTCGAATAAAATTCATTCATAATAAGCATACGAGAACTTAGATACAAAAATGGTCATGCCTAGCTTTTATGGTAACGGAGCTCAGCTAGCTTATTCGATAGTTCGATTCGGGAAATAAATCAAGAATATATAGAAACTTGTTATTCGTTAATCGATTATTTGTTATACGTTTCCATTGAATGGCTGAGCCACAGCTAATTAGAAATTCCTTAGAAATTCAGCATCCGAGTTCACAAAGAAAAATGGTCGGTTGACGGTGCGAACCAACAGCCTTCACCCCTTCGAGCCTCATGCAACTGGCTTTCCACATTGATGAGTTCAGGTTTGGCTTTAAAACTCGGCTTGTCATATGCTCGCAAAATTTGATACAAGAAATTAAATCTTTAATAAACAATTGCCCGTTGCGCAGCATACTTTTTAATCAAAGCACAGCTCGATTTGCAGTTGGGGCATTTAATTTACAAAAGGGCTTTGGATCAAGAGCTTATTTTACCTTCTTGACACGGTCATACAACACATGATGCCCACCCGACTGCTACAAATATATACAGGGTATTTGATAATTAACAATAAAGAAAAAAGGAAACGAAATGTCAGTTGCGGAAAACTTGGTCAAGTCAAGACAAAGATGGATGCAGATGGAAGACGGCAGACTTCAGATTGCGGTTAGTAAATTGAAGATTAAAGAGTCAGAGTTTCGGATATGAAAGTGTTTAAATGTCATGTTGTTGTTGTTGCTGCTAGTTTATTGATTCATGTCCATTTGCTGCTGATTATCTATGTTTGTTGATTGTGCATTGGCTTTGATTGTTTGCGCTTCTTCACGCCTGCCCGAGCTGGTGACTTGATTAATATGCTGGCATTTGTTTTGGCCCTCTTCTTTTGGGCGCCACTTGCCACCTGCCAACTGCCAACTGCCAGCTGGCATCGATTTTCGTACCACTGTGCCGCATTGTTGGGCGTAGTTTGGCCATTCGGCTATGCGCCTTGACTCAATAAATCATTCGAGTTATTCGAGTCGACTTGGCCCGGAGTCTGTCATTAAATATTGAACTTTCCCTCTGCTCTTCGCAGTCAACGTTTCATTTTACATGTGACGCAATTTTCGTGTGCGTATTTTTATTAGCCATTTAACAGTTGGCGCACATAAATGTTACCAATTATTGTTAGCTCAGTTTTGCGTGCCCTCTCTGGGAGGGCAATTATTTTGCACATTAGTTATTTATGGACGCTCGCCCCGCTTCTTTTATGCTCTGCCATTTCAAAGCGTTTCAAATGCCAACTAAATGGATTCACCGCCTGAGCCTGCTAATGTCAACCATATATAAATATATATATATATATATATATATATAAATAAATATGGTCATCTTTATAATCATATATATAAATTGGCATGGCGCTTGCATATTAACACATAAATTAAGTAACGAACTAAGCTCAAAGCCTGCTAGCAGTTGACAACTCTTCAACTATCTGGAATAATACATATGTTGTTTCATACAGATATATATATGAAACTCAGATCGAGAAAGTACGTAGAACCCTTTGTAGGCATTCGCCTGAAATGAGAATATCTCGAAAAGCAGAATATATTGCCATACGGATCTGACTAGATTAAGCCCGGCTATTGATGCTGATCAACAGTATATGTGCAATACTAGCTCGGAGCAGCCAACTTCTGCGTTGATAACCCTGCTCTGTTAACAGCCAGAAGATCGATTATCTATATGGTATGTCTCTTATGTATTTTCAAAGCCCTAAAGCGATGTCAGTTTTTCTTTTTTGTTTCGTTTAAAATTGTGTCTAACAGCTGCATTTGTTTGGGGTTTTAACGCTGGAGTTTGACACCAAGTGGAATTTAAACAGCATTTTATTTTATAGTTATGTTAACGTCACGCTGTTAGCGTCACATTAACATTTGAAGCCTTAACTAAACGCAGACAGATTTGCATGATGGGCTCGTTGTTTATTTGTTAAACTAATTTCAGCGACATTTTGTGCTTCGATTATTGCAAATTTAATTGTTAATTCAATTGACAGCCGGAACAAACTGGCCAGTAAAAAGCCAGACACTTATGCATTTGTTATATATCTATATAATGTATATAGATGTCGCGTACTGCAGTCAAGGTCGCCATTTGTGTCACGCTGGCAATTGCAAACATTTGCTTTGACATGTTTTGCTATTTGCCTGATTTGGTTGTTAGTGCGCGCAAGTTCGTGTCCTAAGTCTTTTGATTTGGACTGGCCCCAAAAATAAAAAAAATTGGCCAAAAAAAAAAGGGAAAATTGTGAAATTTTTTTTAGCGCACAAAAATTGTTGATGACGCTTTAGACATATCAGTGACAGGTGTGTGTGTGTGTGTGTGTGTGTCGGCTAGTATACCTTTTACTGGCCAATCTCTTGAGCGTCTCTGCTGAGCGTTTTTTTCACTTTAAAGCTACCCACTGAAGCCTGTCGCGCTCACGTACCAGCTGAGACGCTGTTGTTGTTGTTTTCATTGTTGTTGGTTGCTGCTTGTTTGCGTTTCATGTATTTTTGATTGGCAATTGTGCTCATTGCAATCGGCCAGCCAGCCAGCCAGGCAGACAGGCCGCGCAGGCAGCTCGCTTCAACTTTCAGCGCTGCTGCTGCAGTTGTTTCTCTTGTTGCTGTTGTTGCTGTTGCCTCTCCGATCTGGTCTGGTGTTTCATTTCATTTTATACCATTTCCAGCCTGTAACCGATTAACCCACTTTTATCTGCTCCGATCCGGTTTTGGCCATTTGGCATTCGTCACATTTAGATTGAGAAATTGCTGTAGGATATGCCGGTTCGGGCCAGTTCCTCCACAAACAGGCACACACACACAAACACCTGGCCGCCCCTACAGCATTTTATCTCATGCTTTTTGCAAACAAACATTTCTAATTGATGTGCAACATCCGAACGCATTCGCTTTGGGTGTTCGCTGTCAGCCCAGGCGAATACTCACTTTTGGGCGCTAACTATCGGTGATGACATTTATGACTGCACGCTCCTAACGATGCCGATTTGTTGGGTTCGTTCAGGCATTACATAAGAAACATAAGAAACAACAACAACAACAATAACAGCAACATATCTGCAGCAGGAGATGACAAGCCTGATCTCTAGAGTCAGGTATGTGTGAACCTAATGGGCGTGTTCCTAATCTACGTGTGTTTGAGTGTATCTGTGTGTGTTGCCCAAGAACTCATTATCACAATAAATGTTAGGCTTCGCTGTTATAACTAACATTATTCATTTAACAGCATTTTAATTGCCCACACAAAAGTCAAATGTTGCAAAGAGCGCTGTAAAAATCAAAATTTGTGGATTTTAAGACATAGGTAATCCCCGGCAATTAACCCACTAAGGCCTAGTTAACCCCTTATGCTGCGCCTGTTAACAGCTCATCAACTCTGTGTAAAAGCGCGTCACAACTGTTGCATAGCTTGATTCTTATTTGCTCTACCTACTGCTAAAGTTAACTACAGCAAATTTAACATGTTAAGCATCATTTTGTTGTCAATTGAAGGCAGTGTTGCCACCTGTCAGTGTTTTGCATGTATGGCAACTAATGTCTTGTTTGAGTAAGACACAGGTCTGTTTTGTATATTATGAATTTTATTTGACCGCTTCCTTGACAAGCTGCTGCCAACCTTTTTGACGTGATATTGCCACATATTTGTATATGCATACAATTAAAAACGCGTTAGGCGGATAGTGTTGCCACCTGGTTATTTATGTCACAAAAAAAAAACACAATTTAGCTTTGAGATGATCTAAATGAAGCCTGCGTATAATAGAAGAACAAGCACTGTAAATGGCGTTGCCATGTGGCAAAATACGCGCGAGTAGGATAAAACAAAATTAAAGAAAATCTACTGGCAACTCAGTGCAGAAGCGTTGCCCCATTTCACATTTCTTTTTTTTAGATTACAAAATGTAATTGTAATTGTAATTGTAACTGCGCGCCAAAGCGTTGCCACATGGCATGTGATTTGAAACAAAAAGAGGCTGAGTGCGAAAAAAAAATGCACGAATTCTTGAAAAGTGTTCAATACATATTTCCAAATATTTGTGTATCATTTTTCGAAATACATTTGCCACATGCAAATCATTGAAGTGCAACAAAAACGATGTGGCAAGCAGTGTATTTCAGTTTCGGCTAAGAGCTAACACACAACTCAAATCTGGCCGATTGCGGCACAAACATTAAATACCAAAATATGTAAACGATGCTGGACCAGGGATTAGGTTGCCGCCCGTGGGGACAGGGCTCTAACCTTAGCCATCGCACACCAGCTAAAGCCAGCTAAACTGGCAACATGCAATCGCCGTTGCCGCTGCGGGTTGCAGCTTGTTGTGGTTGTTGTTGTTGTTGTTGCCGTTGTTATTGTTGTTGATTGGCCGCCACCGCCTGCCCCTGCCACGCGAAAGTGATGCAATGGCGCGGAAAACAGGCGCTGATTGCCACACACTCCATTCAATGTAGGTGCAGGTGTATGTGTGTACCTGTGTGTGTGTGTCTCTCTCTCTCTCTCTCTCGATTTCGTATGCATATAGCCGGGAGGCGGCAGGCAACAAACCTGGCAAATGCCCCGCACTGTTGCATTCAATTACAAACAAATGCAGGCGCCGCAAAGCGAAGCGAACCCAAATGAAATGAAAAATGGAAATGCTTTGCGCTGTTCCAATTGGAAATTGTGTGTGCGTGTATGTGTGTGTGTGTGTCTAATAGCTTTTGGCCGCACGCTAATGCCAATGGAATTCTGACTAGCCAAAAAAAAAAACGCATATATATATATATAGAGAGAGAGAGAGAGGGAGAGAAAAAACGAACTAGCTCGAATAAAAGTGAAATTTTTGTGGTCGCTATAGGGCAGGGTCCAAGCCGGGCCCTACCGAAACAGTTAAATAGATTACGGTATTGAAAAGCGTTCGAACACAAAATAAACGCCAGCTCATGAATAATAAGCAGACAGGTGGCTAGCAACAGGTGATCAGGTTCAAGAGCTAGAAAAGTTGAGATAAAAAACAAACTGTTCCTAACGGTAGCGCGTTCTAATTTCAGGAGAGTTTTCATTGCAGAGACAGAGAGAGAGGGAGAGAGAGAGAGAGAGAGGGAGAGAGTGAGGCACATTTATTTGATTTAATTGCAAACTCGATTTATTCGTGTGGGGAATCTTCATTCTAAAAACCGCAAGCAATTCAAGCTGCAAGTCACGTAGGCAGCGCGAGCAAAAGCTCAAGAGTTTTGGCTACCAAATGAAACAAATTTTAACAGCTATCAGCAGCAGGCCGACCTTTAAATACTCTTTAAGACAATTGTCTTGAGGTTTTGCATTTATGCTAGGGGTGGGAATGTCACTTGTTGTAGCTGAGTCTTTCGAAGATATCTTCACAAAGCATCTATCTGACAGGATGATCTATATCTATATAGTATGAAGGCTACAAAAGTTTCTTCCATTGAGCTATATTATAAAGTAATAACATGTGGATAAGATATTGCTTATATGCATGGCAAAACTCTTATATGCTAAGTTCAATCAAGTTATCTTGGATAGCAAAAACATGTCTTATAATAAAAAACTTCAGCTTTAGCCAATTCTTCCTATGCCAGGCTATATGATAAAGTGTTATGATGCGGCCAATTCGAATATATGCGCTACGTGCCACAGAAAGAGGAGAGCTATTAAAGGTTTCCTTCCGTCCCTTATTCTTTTTTTAATATATATTAAATCTTTGTCTACTACTAAGGGTAAGGATTAGCAACTTACTTAGCAACTTAACTTTAGTAATATTTGTCAATAGGAGCTCTTTGAAATTGTTCAGCATTTTAAGTAAGCGTGCCTAAACACAGGCTTTCTCGATTTGAGTTACAAAGACACGTCTACATACCTAATTTGCCAATTACAACTATCAGAGTCTTCGAGATAATAAAGACGGGCAGAAATATCTAATTTTAATCTTTACCTTTTAGATACATGCTTTATGTTGTTGAAGATACTTTCTGTCTGTTGTTCGATTATGCTCCTTTTGTGAATAGAAAATATGACAGGCGGCTTTTTGTTACACAATGTGCTCACTGTAGAGTGCATTCTCTTTTTGCTTTATCTATCTATTTGCCTTTTTTCTGTTCATTATAAATGCATTATTCAATGCAAAAATCTGCATTGTCCAATGCGGCTTTGGCAGCAAATTAAAACAGTCTATAGGCAAAGTGTTTCCCCATAAAATCCATTTGCCATTTGTGTGTGAAAAGAGATCGCAAATAGCCAAACACTTTGACAGATTGCTGCTAACTGAAAGTGTTGCCAAGCGTTGAGGCTGTGGTCGGGCCTGAAGGTGTGTAGCCAGGTAAATGAATAGCACTATCAAACCAAATATTTCGATTTGCCAGCCAGGCTCTGGGCCCTGAGAGCCAGACTAAACAAACTTTGGCTTTTCAAATTTGGGCTAAGCCGACCAGCAAAGTCTGTAGCTGAATGTGTTGCCAAAGGTAAACATGATTTGGAAACAATTTAGCTGATATTTGGCTTTGAGTAATGAAAATGTAATCAACTTTGTTTAACTGAAATATTAATCAATCGTGCATATTCTAGCTATCCCTGCTTTAATGTTGATATTAAGATAGATAATATTATTATGATTGTTGATTACGTTTATTCAATTCAATTTAAATGATAAAAAGTAAACCCCGTTTCGGATAAACTTCTTTGTTCGATCTTTAGAGAAATTTAGTTTATATACCAAACCGCAAGGCTCTAAATTTAACAAGAGTGCTGCAGTCGGGAGTGCCCAACTAGAAGATACCCTGAGCCGTCTTCTACCAACGCCAAATGCAGCTCGCAGCAGGGACCTAGCTATAAAATGAAAAAGGCTTGATCTGTGTATACTTTTATGATATCCTTTTTACCCACTTTGAAAGGGTGTAGGGTATAAAAATATTACTTTCCAATTCTAGGGGAAAAACTGAACTATTTATCATTTGTTCATACTATATGTTGACCTCCATGCCAATCCGCGAGTTTTGTTTAAAAATAGATTAATAGATTTGATTTTATCGATATAGGATTAACGCGTTCTACTTATGGCTTTATGCAATATATTTGTTGAACTGCAAATATGTAGCTATTGTACCATCCGAGATAGATGCGTTTGCACATATCAAGAATATATGTATATATGGGCGCAGATATGCTTCCTTCCGCCTGGGACATAGATTTGTATAAAACGACTTTGGGTTAGGGGCATAAAAATCTCTTGGTTCGGCTGGTTTTGTTGCCAGCTAGTTTTGTTTGATAAAGAATAGATTGGGATTCCCGCTGCGAACCGGTTTGCAGCCTTGGTTTGGTTAGCCAGAAATAAACGTTGTCTTACTCGGACACGCATCCAATGAGAAAAAGGTCTAAATCAATGAACGATGCGCAGCTCTTGGCCATTCAGGCATTTCACAGTCAACAGCCAAGCGACAAGCGACAAGCGACAAGAGCCGAGAGATTGGCCTAAATGGATTTGAATATGGAAATGGCTATGGAAATAGCGAGTCATCAATGTGACGCATCAGCAGACAGACTCAGACTCAGGCACAGACCCAGACCGAGTCTCAGACTCAGACTCGAACACGGCAGCAGCTCGTTGCGGCCCAGTCGCCGGGGCGTGTTTTGTTTGACTTGACCGAAAGGTGGCAAACCGAATGACAATTGTGTACTTGGGGCTAGTTGTTGTCGGCATTTATATTGTTGTCATTATAGCTATTTGGCTGCTCGACTGTCCGACTGTCCCTCAGAGCAAAGTGGGTCACTGTGAAGGTTCTCTGCGGCTTACCGATATTTCCAGTCCATTTTGCTTTTGTGCAAATAGAGCGAGAGCAGCGGCACATCCGATATTTCCGTCTCCTGTCCGCCGGCCTCCAGCAGCAGCACCTTCCAGTGCGGCACCTCCGACAGACGTGAGGCCAGCACCGTGCCCGCTGAGCCACCGCCAATGATAATGAAATCATAGGCCAGCTCCACCTGCGGCACATTAAACGGCCGATTCTCGGGATCAAACAGATCGTAATTGTAGTAGGCTATCGCGGCGATTAGAAATGGTAAAATTGTTAATTTGCCGACGCCGACAACGGCGGTTGTTAGTTTAATGGCGCTGGCTATGCCCAGGCCCAGTTTCGAGGCGCCTACGGCTGCCACGCCCGCTGCGGCAGCCGCCTTCGAGGCGGCGCTTGCCTTGAAGAGCAGCCCGCCCACCGAAACGGCGGCGGCGCCCAGGGCAGGCACAACAACCATATTGACAGCTAAAAATATCACACTCTCCCTCGGACTCTCCTGCACGCTCTCTCTCTCTCTCTCTCTCTCTCTCTCTCACTCTCTCAATTCTTGAGCTCCGCTTTGAATGCTATCCTTAAACGCTGCTCACTGCTCGCTGCTCGCTGCTCGCGTCGCTCCTTTGCCTGGTGTCTTGCACTCAGCACATCTTTTATTCAATTTCTTCTTTCTTTTAGTCAAGAATTTGCCTTGCACGCTTTCATTCACAATCACAAATCACGCGTCACGTTCACCAATCAACAATTGTTGTTATTGTGCACTTTCATTTGGACAGCGAAAATACAACAACAACAAAAAAATATTGTTTCTTTGCTTTATTTTTTTGAAAAATAAATAAACAAAAGTGCGAGTCGCGTTGCATTCCTCGTCGCGTTCGAGGCGTATCGAAGAAAAAAAATTGTTTCTTTTTCCCGAAACAAAAAAAAAAAAAAATTTTCTAAAAAAAAAGGCAACCGACTTGTTTGGCAGCCGCTGCGTTTCTGAGCCACAAACGCAACTCGTGTGCGACGTTTTGTCTGCTTCGCATTTCTTGTTGCAAGCCCGTTTAAGCGGCCGCCGCAGCTGAAGCTCAGGCCGAGGCGGTTGCGCATGCGCTCGCCCTGCGCAGCTCGTCAGCTGAGGAGCTCTGTCTGTGAGTTGTCGCTCTGCAGCTGAGCTGGAGCGGAGCGCGTGACACGAGCCAAGCACGTATTGGCTGGAATTTGTGGAATTTTCGACAGCTAACTTGAAAAATAAATGACAAGCATCAAAGGAGATCAAGAAGAACATATTATATTATTTATCTACAAAAATATTTGACTGTATTTATTGCATTTGCCTCTCTGACGCTTACAAACTCTTCATTGTTTCTCTCTCTCTCATTCTCTTTCATTCCCTTTCTGTCTCGCTCTCTCTTCATCCTTACACTTGTTGGCGTGTTCGTTCCTGTTTTCCTTTCTAAGTTCATTTTTCTGCTGTTTTATGATCAAATACATATGAAAGCAGTTTTTCTCGCAGCCCTTTAACAGCATTTGATACTTAAATTCTGTCTATATATTATTTTATTTGCTTATCAACTACTTAAACTAAATATATCCCAATAAATTATAACTAAGCATATTCGAAGTACTTCTTTTAACTTTGCGATAAGATATATTTATAAGATGACAAAAGCTTTTCTTCAAGAAAGGTATAGCTAAAATAGACTGTGGTCGCTGGCAAATTGGAAATACCTGAAAATAGAATGGCATGAAATGCAGAAACCTGCCAAAATTTATATCAATTTAACTATATTATGTTTAGTTGTTTTCTGATATCAAACAATTTTCAATTATAAACTTTTTAAGCTCCATTTAACTATGACACAGATACTAACAAATCTGAATAACAGTTGCTGTACATTTGTAACCAATAATAATTTCTGCTTATAGAATAAATATTTTATCCTAATAATGGATTATTCGCAATCAAAATCTGTATAAATTGTAGTGTTGTAAAGCCATTTAACACGCGCTCCTCTCTAATCTATAAACACACTAACACACAGATAGAGCGCAACGGGAGAGCGGAGCAGAGCAGCGCGTTCCAGCTAGTTGGCTCCTTTTCGGCTGCTGCTGCTGCTGCTGCGGGAGCTGTTGCGAAACGGTTGAGTATACGTACATGTACTTGTGCTCGATATCATGGCGAGCGCATAACCGTTTGCGAACCGTTTGGCAACCGATTGGCGCTCCTGTGGCAGCGCTCTCCGGCAGCTCAATTCGCCTGCCGATGGGCATTTTTATTTTTGTGGTTTTCTTTTTGACTCTTTCGCATTTTACTTTACTTCACTCGCTTCTCTTTTTATTTCACTTAACCAAACGACCTTCATGCTCACTTAACAGTCATGTGCACTTAGCGAACGATTGCCGGCTAGTGTGTGCGAGTGTGTGGGGTGTGTGGGGTGTGTGGGGTGTGTGTGTGTGCGCTCACGTAAGCCAGCGGAGATAAGGAACTGAATTAATGTCGTCATCTCTTCAGGCAGCGGATGCAAAATTGTATCAGAAGAATTGTTAAAAATTGTCTTAAACAAAAAACCTGTTCGAAATGTAAGTCGTAATTGCCAAAATGATTGGAAAAACCTGCAGGAAAACAATAATTTTGTTGTGTGCCAATCAATTGGATTCAATGGAACGAATGATTTGAATGATGTTTAATCATATTTAATGATATGTATTTTCTTTACATGTTCATGTTTCAAGTATCTCTAATACTCGTTCACTAACAGAGCGTATTGCTGTTAAAGTGACGAGTTCGCTGTTAAAGCGCATATAACAGAACAACAATTACACACAGTTTACTTAATTATTATATTGATATGGTTGTGACTATATTGCGAGAAGTATCATTATTTTTATTCTATCATAAGCGGTTATATGTAGAGCGGTTAAATCAGGATAACAGAGCCAATTGCTAGCTGTGTCTGTTAAAGTGACGCTGTTAGAGCTGCAAAAAATACTCGACAGTAAATGCGTGCAATGCATAAACTTGGCTGGTGTATTGAATTTATGTTTTAATTGGGAAGCACGTTAAAATATTCAAAAAAAGGGCATGCAGAATAAAGCTGAAGCCGATAAGTTAACGAAGTCAGCTAACTGAACAAAAAGTATAAGGGCTTGAATCAAATATTATTAATATACAATTTTAATGTGTTTATTACTTTTTATAATAATACACTAAAAGATATCAAAGAATTGTTGATTGCATTAAGAATTTCACAAAAGTTTCATAACATAACAAGCAGTTCTTGTGCGTCTGTAGAACAACTGTTAAGCTCGCATTGTTACTGTTAGCATAACAGCGCATCTCACAGCTGTTAAGCATAACAGGCGCATGTTATTAACACTCGCTGGCATTTGAAGCGTGGGATTCTCAATTAGAATCTCATTCAGTTGACTTCAAGCTCGATTCGGTTCTTCAGCCGAAATGAATAATAGAAAATGTAGCGCAACATACACTTAAAAAACGGTACTCTCCCACCTGTCTTGAATGTCATCGAATTCCATTACGCAAACGAATTAAACGAGAGGGGGTCGCAGCGGGGGGCACTCCGGCAAGTAGGCTCCTCCGTGTTTGCCCTCAAAGAGCCGCCGCCGCCGCCGCCGCCTTAAGAAGAAGAAGAGACGAGGCAAAATGTAATGACCGCAAATTAACAGAGCGGCAATAAAAAGCGCGAAGCGACGCCAGGTCGATATGCGATGGGATTGTTTTTCTAGCTGTTGATATGGCTAATGTCAGAAGGTCAGACAACGATCGGGTTTGGGTTTTGTTTATGTTATTTTTGGGCATTTTCTTTGCTCTGCGTGACTTTTCCATGCGAAAATGTGTCAGTTCCGCTGGGGACAAACCAAACGCTTTGCCCGAGCGCCGTTAAGCAAAAAAAAATAAAATAAAAAGAAACGTGAAGCGTCACTAACCAAATAAAGTTGACCAGCTTGTAGAGCTTGGCCATGTGCTGAGAGGGCCCTTCAATGGGATGTGAAGTCGTTTATTGCCATCCAAGAATGGTCAAGGGCTGAGAAGTGGGGCATTTATGACTCGATGTCATTGAGGAATGTGCAGCGCATGAGGCACTTATGGTCGGGGGCAATCTCTGGAGTTGTGCAACAAGCTCTCGTGCTGCGCCCATAAAGGCAATTGTATTGCACTGAGCCTTACGAAATTTGGTATGCGTTAATTGTGAACTCTTTTCTAACTATGTTTCAAATTTCACAAGACTTCGGCTATAAATAATCGGGTTATTAACATTTGAAACTTATTGCGAGGCCTTCAATCTATCTTATGCCTTATTGGCCCAACAGATGGCGCTGCTCGACATGGCTTTATATCTGCCATTTTCACACCTACCCCTTAGATATTTGGTACACCTCGAATATAAACCGTTCTCTTACTATCTGGTGAGTCTTTCAAGTCTTTCAATTAGGATAAAACCTCTCTACTTCATTTGGTCGAATGCAATGGTAACAGATGCCGCCGTCTTAGCAATTATTTAGCTTAACACTTAACATTTTCATAACGAGATGATAAATAGTTGGGAAATAGTTGGGTTGCTAAGTGACCCACTATAAACCACTTCCGCTACAATTACGGACGGCACATAATAAAGCGCACACAAGTTTCCGGTACTCGTACGGCTCGTTTTCTATCTATTTAGCTCTTTGTCACTTTCCCAATCAACACCGAAATTTACTTAAAAGCAATTAAAAGTGAAATGCAAAAACACTCGCAAGACGCAAAATGATTATGGTATGTGAATTGAAGAAGAGGCAGCAGTAGTTGTAGGCAATCCGGTTGACATAACGTGCGCCGCGATAAATATATATATAAATGAATATACTTATATATATGTTCATATTAACTTAAAAAATTAAAATTTTAAATATTTTTGTTTTCCAACTAAAATACTGTCATATGTATTTCGATTGACCCGAAAGCCACAAGCAATTTGGTTGTAAGTTGAATGTTTACATTAATTTAAGCCGGGCAGAGCCGGGTAATTACTGCAATACATATTTCTATTAGCTCGCATGAGGCAATTGAATGAATGAATCGAATATGAACTTTATTAAATGACAAGCAATTTGCTGGAGCGAACATAAAGCGGCAAGTGCGACATGCATTTGTATCTGAAACTCTGCAAATGTATCTATGCATTTGTAACTGTCAATATATGTGTATATAGATATATATAATATACAAGTGCGCACAGCTGAGACCAACCACAAAGCCAAACGGAGCGTGGCATATTGCACGAGCACTACGTGACCTATTCCCAAAACTTACAAGCGAACCACAGCAACCGCAACACTCGGATGTTACTTCCCAGTTACAGATACAGATACAGATACAGATACGTATGTGTAGTACTCGCATGTGGGTTACCGCACACGCACTCGCACTCGCACGGTGGTTGTGGCAACAGGTAGCTCTTGGCTGACATCTCTCATCTAATCTGTTGCCTAAATGCCCGCAAATGAATTTGTGCCCGTCATCGTTGCCCCGCTCACTCGTAATTCATTGTCAAATCTGCGTAACGCATCTCTCATGGATCTCATTGCGTACTAACCGACTCGATTTCGTATTACCAACCCGGCCAACAGCGTATGTCCGTTATGTGTGCGACAATTGCCAAACTCTATCCTCTTGCCTAGCCCATAGAGCGTTTACCTAGTTCAGTCCATATGCCAACGATAACGCTCCTGTTATTACCGAGAGTTACTTGGGGGAATACTCTTAAGAGATTTACTTGAGATATAGACTGTTGACTGCAACTTCATACTCATTTTTAGTCTCTTGTTGCCAGATTGATTTACTTCTGCCAATTTCAGCGCTGCCAGATTGTTGGCTAACATACTTTTGCAAAGTTCTTTGTTGCCAGCTTGTAAACTTACATATGTCTTATACAAATGAATTACATTTCGAATTATTCTTAATCATAGCACACCATTTTTCTTTATTAGCAGAGCTAGTCTTGTTAAATGTTACGGTAGCTCGATTAAAATTGAATCTTTATTGAGATTGAATCTCAAGCCAACTACCCTGCAAAGTAGCTGAAACAAAATAAAATAGCTGCTAGTTCCGAATTGAAGCCCCCTCGCTGCGTGGGGGCACTTGTGCGATACATCAATTAATTGCCATCGGTACGCCGCCAAATGCGTTGTGAGGCGCCCAAGTGGTATTCGCGGCATAACAATGAGCCAAAATTTGAAGCTATTAATTGTTGGGCCAAAAGTGAAAGCTATCCATCAATTGGCAAAAGCCATGCACCCGACCCCGACCCAGACCCATTCAACAAAAGAGCATTACATAAGCTCATGTTTTTTCATTTATTTTAATTATTTATAACAAATATATAAATTTGATGCTGGAAGACGAACTACTCTCGAACTACTGGGGGCAGTCGAATCCACAGGCGTGAGTAGCTTTGTGCTGCAGCTGCTGCGATGTGAACTGAAAATTTGCGACGACGTCAGGAGATAAATTATTATAAATATTTATAATTCGCGTCAACTGAAAGAGATGAAAATGATTTTAGGAGATAGAGTGGGCGAATGCAACAAAAAGAGAGGATTAAGATAAATAATGTGCTGAAGCTTCCACTCTTGAGAATCGCATAGAAAGGCAAAAAGGAGAGAATGCACTCACCTGTGCGCATCAGTTGCCGAGTCTGTGCCCCCAACCAACGATTAAGAAAATGTTTATAAATTTTTAAAAATTTTATTCAATTTGAAATATTTCTGAAATTAGATACGCTGGAATTATTTTAGTTAAAATTATTTAAATAATTAAGCACTTACTTCGCTTGTATTGTCCCCAATATCAACAAGTATCCCCATTGCGTTCGATTTTTAAGGGGGGTAGGGGCTGGGGGATGTCTGATCTTGTGATTCTTGGGGGAGGGGTGGGTGATTTTGGGGGTTTGTTTCTAGTGTGTGTGTGGTGTTGTATGTTGTCTGTGTTGTGTGCGTATTTCCTGGCTTCCTAATTCTTTATATAATTGTTTCTGTCTGTTGTCGTTCTCTCGTTCGATTATGTATTTATGTACAAGTTGCAGAGAGTCTGTTGCTATTGTTGTAACCAATGAAGAACAACGTGATATGTTATATATATATAAATATATATATAAAATATGTAACGGATATATATATTAACCGAGAGCAAACACAAGGGATTTTCTCCTCGGACCTTGCTCTCCTGCTTTGTCAATTGGAATTGTATATATATATATATATACACACGAAGATATATATTGATCGGAATGTCATCTATCGCAACAATTCGATTTAAGCATTTGTTTAAAGTCCTGTGTTTTTGCATTCTAATTGGAAATGAAGCACACACAAGTTGGGGCTCGGACCATGCTCCAATTTCTTGTGTATGAAACGAAATTTGAACTGTAGGATTTTGCTTTTAGCCATAAATAGAATTAAAATAATATTACTTACAGTTAATCCAATACTTTTGGGTCAGCGTTGTACAAAAACTATTAAATATATTTATATCGGCAGCCTCCTGGCCTCTAATCTGTGTCAACATTAAATATATAAAGATAATAATCATGCAGAAGAGCAATTTTAGCCTAAGCTCCAACTTGGTTTCATATTTTTATGTGTGTGTGTGTTGCAGAGTAACTTGAATGACGTCTTCTTTTCCAAATCTGATTTGAACCAGCGGAGCAAACACAAGGAACCCGTCGTCCTCGGACCTTGCTCCACAACTAATCAATGTTGCCATTACTTATGGGCATTCTTGCAAATGCTCAATGATGCCAATGCCAATAAGGCCCATCTTCAAATGGGCGAACTGCGAATTAATTAATGTTGATTTACAAAGTTGAATAAGCAACAATTTATACACTTTTGCTAAATTAGATTTGCAAGGACAGCCGAGTCTCTGTTTTGTTCCTATCACGTTCTTGTTAACCCTTTAAATCTGCTTTCCCCCTTCTGAATTTGAGGTCTATTTTATAAATTTTTTATGTTGGACTACATTTTAATGGGCAGAATGAATCATGCGGTTAAGGGAAGGAAGCATATGTTTTTAGGCAAACTTTGGCAGGCATTCAAATCTAAGGACAATAAAGTGGATGCCTCATAGGTATCATTTACACCCTGAAGGAGAAGCAATCTCTAACCCCATAAACCATACGCAGAATCTAGTAAATATTATATTAGTTATTCCTATTGTCATATTGATTAATCTCTATTTGAGCACATCTCTATGATTATAAAAGCACATTAAGAATATTTAAATATTTGGATATTGCATATTTGCATATCCCATAATGGAGCAAAAGGGAAGGATCATAGTTTCGCCTTTTCTACACCTAGCTTGCACTTACCTTGGCGTTGTTAAAGGTAAATCCCATTTGAATTTTCAATAAAGAAATTTTTCCAGCAATGTTAAAACTTGCAAGGCCAGCAAAAAATCTCTTTAACCGTGTCTTTGTGTTTGTGTTTATGTTTTATCACGTGTTCTTGGTAACCAAATAAAACAACAAAAAGAAAAAACAAACTACATGTCCAAAACTTTCAACTCTGATACTTTTCTCCTTCTACCGACACTTTTATATATAACCAAATCTGATCGAAGGTCCCGCAATTGTTTCCAAATCGACGTCCATTTTTACATTTCAAATTTTGAAGCACAACGAATTTTGTTCAATTTTAGATGTTTGCACTACAAAACTCAGAAGGTGAATGAGCTCCTCACAATGCTGTGCCAGACTCCTGAGTCGGGCACTGACAATTTCTGTGTCGTCGCCTGCTTTAATACACACGCAAACTGGGTCAATATGCAAGCAGAGTGCTTACCCATTACGTGGCCTACTGTTTTGACAGTCACTATGCGAAGAGTTTTGAGAGCCACTGCGCTGCGTGAAGAGCTCAATTCGTGCCTCCAGTCTCCTTAGGTTGGGTTGTAAGGTCTTACAAAGAGCGCTCGTCGTGGTTTTGGGGTCACAGTAGAAATGCGCTCTTGTACAATTAGTTGTTAAGCTTTGAGAGCAACTGTGCTTTGAGCATGCATCATCTTTTAGAAGCCACTGCGCTCTTTCCATACTGAAGCGCAGCTTTCAACCACCAAAGTTTTACAGCCACTGCAAATATGTAAACAAAAAGCCAAAGCGCGCCTTCGTGTCATTCTAAACGCGCTCAATGTGCCCTGCGAGCCAATGTGAGAAGCACTGTGCACTATCTTAAGAAAACTTTGAGAGCCACTGCGCCAAGCTATGCAATTGCTCTAAGAGTTTGCCTTTAGCGCAGCTTCAAACCACAAATGCTAAGCTTTTAGTGTGAACTGAGCAAATACAACTGCAAATGTTTTTGAAGCTTGCTCAATTTATTATCTAACTACAAATTATTAAAAAAAAAAAAAAAAGAAAAAGATAGATCGTATAAATGATTAAAGTGTGTGCTGCAGCTACCTCAATCGAACTGAACTCGGAGGCTGATTCAGAGGCAGACGGCACATTAAAGCTCCGTGTGCTGGCTGGCCCCACCCAGATAATCCTCCTTGATCATGTCGGCACCCTTCTCACCGATCATAATGATGGCCGCATTTGTATTCGCGCCAACAATGTCGGGCATGATGCTGCCGTCGATCACACGCAGTCCGCTGGCGCCATGGACTCGAAGTCGGGCATCGACAACGGACGTGGGATCGGTGGCGGGTCCCATGCGGGCCGTGCCCACCGGATGGTAGACGGTGGTGGTCATGTGGCGTATATAGCAGCGCCAATAGTCGTCGGACTGATAGGTCAGACCATTGCAGGCCTCCAGATCGACCTGGTGCAGCTCCGCCTCACGCTCGCCAAAGGCACGCGTCTCGGGCAGACGCTTGTAGATGTTCAGGGCGCGTATATAGGTATCCACATCGCGTTCATCGGTCATATAGCCCGGATCGATGAGTGGTGCGTCGAGATAGTCGGCGCTCTGCAGTTCCAGGCGGCCGGCTGAGAAGGGTTTCAAGTGCAGCAGATATGTGATATACGTGTTGGACTTCTCGTTGGCCGACAGAATGCTCTTGGCGACGCGCTCATTGAACCCTGTAGCGGCCACATAGCCACGCAGCTCCGGACTCTGCATTAGGCTGAAGAAATTCGTTGTCTGTATGTCCGGATTGGGACCATGCAGCGAGGTGGTATTGATAAAGCCCGTCAGGGCAGTCGCCTCATGATGCAACAGCTTGCTGTAGCGACCCATCAGCAGATTGTACATGGCATCCACCAGCTCCTCTTCGGTGGGCTTACGCGCCGTAGACTTATCGATCTGGAAGATAACTGGCAGGCTGGCATGATCCTTCAGATTGTGACCGACGGGCAGATCCAGTTTGACGGGCACGCCAACGCTTCTCAGATGCTCAGCGGGTCCAATGCCTGCCGAAAATAGGGGGAGCATTATTATTATGAGGGATATAAGCACGGATTTTAGAGGGAGAAAGCGCGAGGGCGGAGTCTTGAGAGGGATCCTGCAGAAACTTTTGACCCGACTAGCCTTGCTGTTATTATTAACCTCTTTTCGTCATGAGCTAAAATTTCCACTTTGTTTAGGCTTGGACCTTACCGCGTGAAACCTAGTTAGACGATGCTGGACACGGAATTCATTAAACCATATTCCAGAACTGGAAACCTTATGACCTTCACAGTTAAGGATAGTTTTTTAGTTGGGTCTAACACAGAATAACACATTGGAATAGATAGCTAGGACTAGTTTAAGCTCCTAACGTCTAAGGAAGACCAATCCTTTTTCAAGGAGGTTTGCAAGCATTCAAATTGGAGTATTGGAGTGTGTCCAACTGAGCAAGCTCTACGAATGTAGAAATGTATCTCCGAGTCGGATGGTCTTCGTTGGAATAAAGCGCATGTAGAAGCTATTATTGTTTTCTTTGGGCTTTAGAAAACCTACAACTATCGGATAAGCTTATCATGGCCATAAAAGCCTCTAACTATTCATTCATTACATTTCTATTATTATTTTTGGACTATCTTATCGGGTTTATGCGATTCGGGCAAAGATTAAAGAGAGCAGCGATTAGTTTGGGATACGCAGTTTGACATTGAGAAACCTTGGAAAACCTTGGGCTACAATGTTTGGCTTGGGCTGCACCTACCTGAGAGCATGAGGATCTGTGGGCTGCCAATGGCGCCAGCCGAGAGGATTATCTCCTTGCTGGCCCGCACCGTGTACTCCTTGCCGCCGCGATGGACAAAGGTGACGCTCTCGGCCCTCTGTTGGTCGTCCAGATTCAGACGCTTGACATGGGCGTGTCGCACAATATGCAAATTGGGCGCATCCTTGGGCAGATGGGAGCGCGCGGTGGTGATGCGACGACCACCATCCTGGGTACCCAGTATATCCATCTGGCCGACAAACGAGCCCTCGGTAAAGTCCGGCGCACTGCCATAGCCCATCTCCAGCATGCCCGCCCGTATGGTTGAGCGGAACTCATTATCCGAGACATAGTTGTTCAATCCCATGGGTCCGCCGACGCCATGATCGCCGGGCTTGTAGTCCGCTCGGGTGGAGCGCAAATCCTCGGCCTTACGGAAATGCTTGAGCACCTCGTCATAGCCCCAGCCAGGATTGCCCCTCTGCTCCCAGTCATCGAAATCGGTGCGTGTGCCGCGCGCATAGATCATCGCGTTCATCCCATTGGTGCCGCCAAGCATCTTGCCGCGCGGCCAGTGACAGCTCTCGCCCAGCATGGCCATGCAGGCGCGTCCGTTTGGCTGCGTATGATACTGCCAATCCCATTTCGAGAACTGTGTGGCCATATGCCAGGCAACGAATTCCGTTTCGATCGGCGGATCACCGCCCGCCTCCAGCAGCAGGACACGCCAATTGGCCTGCTCCGCCAGCCGACCGGCGACCACAGAGCCCGCACTGCCCGCACCGATGACAACGAAATCGTATGGTTCCCCAAAACCGCCCGCCTGCTCCAGCCAATCGCCGCGATCCGCCGGCCACTGCTGCTGTCCGCTCAGATCGCAGAATTTGGTAATTAGCGTGTGCAGCAGCAGCGACATCAGCGTATTGGCCGGGCCCGCCGATCTGGCCGCGCACTCAGCGCTGAGAAACTCCATCTTCGTACAAAATATTTCCAACAAGAATACTCCGGCGTACTGCCCACTGGCGCTGTCCGTGCGCTACTGTTTGCCGGCCGTGGCCGGCAGCCGGCATTTGTACGCTCTCCGGCCACCGGCTGGCATTCGCATGCCGCACGCGTCGCCGTAAATCACCTGCGCCATTTGCATTGCAAATAGACCACAAATGCGTATATAATATATATAGTTATGTATTTATGTGTATGTCCATATACCACAGCGAGCTCTGCCGGACGCGCCTTTATCACTGCCACACAGAGATTAGATGTGACATTCGAGAGCGGGTGCAGCCAGAGCTAAGGCGAAGCCGCAGATACGACTGCAAAATACTAAACGACCACCGACTGGAGGTTGCCCCTGATAAGCGCCGGTGGGGTGGCCCATTCAATTATGGGCCTCAAATTGTTTTTTATGATCCCACTTCACCTGCCAGTCCATCCATCCATCTATCCATTCGTCCATAGCTGTCGTGCTGCCTCTTTATCTCTCTCTCTCTCTCTCTCTCGTGCTCTCTCGCTTTTGATAAGTCGCCAGCGTTGACTCCGATAAGCCAAAAAAAAAAAAAGAAGAAATCCACTTGCCGGGCATTTCGGTATCTTGATGCGCTACCTGTGCGCGCGAACGGCGGGCGGTGGTCGGCTTGTGCCACGCCCCTGGGCCAGGCCTAAACACAACCTCACCCACATTTGTGGGCTCGGTCACAGCGACGCGCTGGGCACACTGCCAAAACCGTGGATTAGGCCAGGCAGGGGTTGGGCTCACCCTCCCACTCCTTTTCTTTCTGCCTCTTACATTCTCTTTTCTCTCTTTCCTCTTCCTTTTCTTCCCAATCGCTCTCTGTTTCTCTTTTTATCAGTCTCTCTCTGTTTCTCTCTTAATCTATCTTTCACTTTCTTCCTGTCTTTTCCAGTTATTTCCCTCTCTCGATCCCTCCATTTTTCTCTTTCGGTCTCTCTATTTCGTTCTTCCTTTTCTTTTTTCTCTTTCTCTCTTTTCTCCCTCTCTGTCTTTCAAACATTTTCTCTATCCCTATTTATTTTCCTCTGGAAAAAGGACTTTCGTTATCTCCTGCTCTTTCTCTTGGTTTCTCCCTTTCTCCAATCTTTTCTTTTCTCTTATGTTACCCAATCGTCCCTCTTTCTCTTTAATTTTTCTCGTGTTCTCTCTCTTCTCTCTACTGCTAACCTATATCTAGTATAATATCGACCAGCTCAACAATCAGGGGGTATTTATTCGAATCTGTCTGACCACGAGATATCCTCTAATCAGTTTTAAGACATTGGCTCTTACCCACCCGCACCTACGCACAACAAGACTCCGCTCGCTTCGGGCTCCCAGCCCCACTTTGTGGAAAACTGGTTCCTCAATAATTTCTGGTTTTGTTGTCGCATCGATGTTGGCTTCTCAGAGCAGCGAGAATGTAGTCAAATGTGTGCCAAAAATCCAGCTAGAGCTCTAAAAATACTATTTACTCTTCTTTTTACTTTATTTTGTTTGCATTTTGCGGAGAGCAAGGTAAACCATTAAGAATTAAAATATTTGTTATCTGTTTACTATGTTGTTGCAAGACTACATAAACAGGGTATTAATTTTGGGATTGCCATACTAGC